CTACTCTACTCTACTCTACTCTACTCTACTCTACTCTACTCTACTCTCTATTCTCTATTCTCTATTCTCTATTCTCCTCTCCTCTCTATTCACTATTCTACCTTACTCTACTCTGTTCATTTCATTTCATTTCATTTCATTTCATTTCATTATTTCATTTCATTTCATTTCAGCATTGTCATAACCTCAAACCATCACTGAACAAATGGTTCAGGACAGGTTCATATATGTTGAGGACTGTATTCTCTTTCTTTTTTTTGTTTTAACTAATAAAAGGCAGAGCGGAAAGGTTCAAGTTTTGAAGAAGAACAATTACGAGTTTTATTGATGGACCTTTTGAGTGCTGGATCAGAGACAACAGCTAGAACAATTCAATGGGCATTGCTCTATTTGGTAGCCTTTCCAGAGATCCAAGGTATGGAAATAGCAAATGACGAAGATCTTATATTAACCATGCAAAATCAGGATGGGTCTCGAAGGGGTGATTCCTGACTTTTCTAAAAGCTTCATTTGGATTTAGACAGGTTCATCCCTTCTGTTATGTTTAGAACTATAACACCTCGAAGAATCCCCAGATAGAGATGCATTGTTCTCCCACAACTTAAGGAGAGCACCAAGTTGAGAAGGATGCAAAACATGGGGAATCAGTGTGATGTTTTCAAAAATGTATGTAGGAGATGACCAGGCTGAGCCTGAGGGTGGGGTCAAGTGCATCTTCAGTCTGGAGTCCACAAGAGATCTAAGTCCAGCCCTCTTTGAATTCTGTTGACTCTTATCTCTCTCCAATTTGCTTTGACCATTAGTAGTTCAGATTCTTGTAGAGTTTTGAATATTGTTTTGAACCGCCAGGACTCCTGATTTCCTGCACTTTACAATATCATTGTCAATCCTACTAGATCAGGGGTCTCAAACTCGCGGCCCGCGGGCCAATTGTGGCCCACAGGACGATATCCTGTGGCCCCCACCGTGATACGAAAGTATAATATTAGTGCGGCCCGCAGGAAGAATGGACCTCTGAAGGAGGTCCCGCCCGCCGTTCCTCGTCATGGCTTCTTCTCCACCCTGAACTTTAACAAGTCCAAGTACAGGTCCAGACTTACTGATGATCATCTTCAAGCCATACTGAGGGTCTCAAGTGCCTCCTCTCTCAAGCCAAACGTGGCTCAGATATGTGAGAGGAAGCGTTGTCAAGTCTCTGGCAGCAAGGAGTAAGCTGGAGAAGCCATGTTCTGAGGAACTGTTCATGATCTTCATTCAATGTTCCATTCATGTGTTCAGGACAGTTCATGTATTGGAGAAATCATTAACTGTTGATGACATTTGAAGATATTTTTTTAACAACGTTTTTTGTGGAATCCCTTATGCGGCCCAGCCTCACCCAGACTCTGCCTCCAGCGGCCCCCAGGTAAATTGAGTTTGAGACCCCTGTGAGACCATGGAATGAATTCTTCAGGAAGCTAAAACTGCTTTCATGGAGATTGGCTACAATAACAGAATCTAATTGTGCTGGGTCTCCTCCCTTTCTGTCCAGTTAGCTAAAAAGAGACTTCTGCATATTTATTATACATGTCTGAAGCTCCTTTTCTCTAATGGAATGCCAATTGAAACCTCAACACCATAAGAAACATTTCCCATAGGCAGATCACATTAGCTTTGCATCTCGTGTTAGTCCCACTAAGTAGGCCAAACCGTGAAATGAATTTCTCAGGAAGGCTAAATTTCCTGTTCTTGGGATTGGCCACAAAACCAAGGAGAGAAGCAACCTGGAATTAAGGAGAAACTTCCCAACAGTGAGAACGATTCACCAGTGGAACACTTTGCCTCCAGAAATTATGGAACTCCATTTTTGCTGGTAGTGGCACCACAGGCTGGTCCTTCGCTGTTTCCAGAGCAGCCCCACGGGCCACATCTAAGCCCCCCATGGGCCAGTTTGACTTTAAAATGTTTCAGTCCTTCTTCCCAGTCTACACAATTCTGTTGAGGTCTCCTTCCTTACCCTCCCCAGTAACTAATTTATTTGCACTGCAGAGAAATGCCAGAAGGAAATAGACTTTTTTCTGGGAAGTAATTCCAACCTGCAATATGAAGATCGGGAAAAGCTGTCCTACACAAATGCCGTCATTCATGAAATCCAACGCTGTACAACTGTTGTTCCTCTCGGAGCACCTCACGCGCCCATCCAAAATGCACAGCTTTGCGGCTATCAAATTCCCAAGGTAAAACTGGGAACCTTCATAGGTGGGCCATGGGTCTGGAGGCTGTACAATGAAGATAAAGGGAACTGCCTTGGGAAGGGGGTTGGACTAGAAGACCACCAAGTTCCCTTTCAGCCGTATGATTCTTTTCACCACCAGTGGTCCATTCTTGAACCAGATCGCAAAAGGGCTCAAGCAGATTGATTCAAGATCCCTTCCATCACGGAGCACTTTCTTCCGTGTGATCTACTTTTCCTGACATTTTCAGGGTGCCCTCATTTTAATCAACCTCCATTCTGTTCATCATGATGAATCCCAGTGGAAGTTCCCCCACGAGTTCAACCCCTCCAACTTCCTGAATGCAAAGGGAGAGTTTGTGAAGCCGGAAGCCTTTTTGGCATTTTCAGCAGGTAAATTAACCCTGTGTCTGTTTTACTTTGAATTTATTTTTATTTTTTATTTATTTATTTTGTCGAGTATGAATCTGATAATATAGATAAGAATATACACATGGTTATTAATATGAGAAATATATATGGATAAAAGGGAACATTAACACAGGGACGGTAGGCACATTGGTGCGCTTATGCACGCCCCTTACTTGAATGTTGTGCAGACCTTGAATGGCAAGGGCTGCACAACACACAGAACCAGGAAGTAGACAAGCCCGTGAACTCAGTTCCTGTGCTTAAACCTTCTGCTTCAGTGCATCCTTAGATGGAGAAAATTGTGAATGTAGCCAATGGGGAGAAGCATTCATTTTGGGGATATATTCATCCATGTTTGTGAAAGTATGGATGTAGATTCTCTCCATGCGTGTATCCTTCAACAAGATCAACCAGAAAATATGCCAATTCATGTGCCAGAAAAGGCATGTTTTGCTTTGCTATTCTCCACCTCTCTCACACCCAACACACACACACACACACACACACACACACACACACATCCATTAATCCTAAGGAAACTAGCCAATTTCACATAACATTAGAAAACTACAACTCTGTGTTTCAGGGGTGTGAAGTGTGCTGAAGTGTGCACTGTTCTAGATGAACAGCTGTGATTGTTCATCTTGTCTTTGACTTTTCAGGACCAAGGGTTTGTTTAGGAGAAAATCTGGCTCGGATGGAGCTCTTCCTCTTCCTCACCAGCATCCTGAGAAATTTCCAGCTATCTTGGCCAGATAAATCCCGGGCACCAGATCTCACACCTAACTTTGGTTTCACACTATTTCCGTCAAGCTTTAAAATATTAATGAAAAGTCGCCAGGAAAGCAACTAGATCAAGGGAAGATTTTCCATCACTCAAAGCAAAGTCATCCTCTCCAAGAAGAGACCAAAGGCACTTGAAAAATCCAGATGGAATTCATAGGCTATACAGTTTAAAGCAGTTACCTGAACAAAAGATTTATACTAGATGGTCTGAAAAAATTATCTTCAATATTACAAACTTTTTTTTTTTAATAAAAGTTTTTATTGATTTTAACGACAAACAAAAACACAAAAAACATAAAACATAACATAAAAAACATCATCATTCTTCATATATTTACAGACAGTGTATCGGTTGGTTTACCACTCCTTTTTGTGCATCCATTTCATAGTCATCATAATAATTATGTTACATAATAACTCATATTATCGATCAACAATTATATATCCTAATATCATTATTAAACAATCATTTGACTATAATTTTACTAATTCATACTTAAGCGAGATAACTGTAATTTAGTTACTTTATTTTATAACAAATCATGAAATCATACCAAGTCTATCTTAATAAAATATTCTAAAAGTGTTATCAAGACCAGGAAAAAATGTATATTCGTTATTTCCTAAATTTCTAACTATTCTATTATTATATTGTATTATCTAACCATTGATAAAAAAGATCCCAAACTTCATAAAATTGTTTATCTTCTTGTTCTCTAATTTCAAATGTCAATCTTTTCTTAATAATTTCTTCCTCTAATGGTATTTTCTCACTCTTCCAAGTTTTAGCAAATACAATCCTAGCCGCTGTTAATACATTTACAATCAAATACTTTAAGTTTTTATTATATGTATCAGGTAAGATTCCCAATAAAAAAATCTCTGACTTCAAATCTATATGTTTCTTTGTCATTTTTTCCAACCATATGCGAATTCTAGTCCAGGAAGGCCTCCTCACAAGTCCACCACATATGGTAATATGAACCAGGAATCTGATGACATTTCCAGCACTTTTCAGATTTGTTCTTGAACATTCTTGCTATTCTTGTCGGGGGAAAATGCCACCTGTAAAACATCTTATACAAATTTTCTTTATATGCTGTTGACATTGTCACTTTATAATTTTGAGACCACAACTTTTGCCATTTCTCTAAGTCAATCCCATATCCAAAATTCTTCCCCCAAGCAATCATTGTTTCTTTAACTTGTTCTTCCTCCAATTTAATTTCCAACAAATAATTATACAATTTTTAATCACTTTTTCATCAGTACCTGTCAAAATCCTATCTAAATCAGTCATTTTGTCATAAAATCCTTCCATTTTGGAATCTTTAAGATACCTTGAATGTATTTGTGCATATGAAAACCAATTCATCTTTATACCTTGTTCTTCTAAATTTTGCATCGTTTTAAGTTCACCCTTTTCATCTAGTAATTCCCCATATCTAACTGTTTGTTCCTTCTTATAAATTATAGGATAAGAAAAGGCTTCAATAGTTGATAACCAAACTGGAATTTTCAAATAACATTGTTTCTTAATTTTGTCCCAATTCAACCATAACGATTCCCGTATATAATGCCTTCTAAAATAACCCTGTGATTTAGTTCCCTTATATCATAGAAAAGCATGCCAACCCAATAGTAAATCATGTCCTTCTAATGCCAACAATCTAGTCTTTCTTAACGTTATCCATTCTTTAGCCCACATTAAATTTGCAGCTTGATAATACAACTCCCAATTAGGAAGGCCAAATCCTCCTCTAATTCTAGCATCCTGTAAAAGTTTTAATTTTATTCTCGCTTTCTTACCTTGCCATATATACTTCAACACAATTTTATTTAATTCTTCAAAATAGTCTTTACCTAACCTAATTGGTATTGTTTGAAACAAATATAACATTCTAGGTAAAATATTCATCTTAATTGTTGAAATTCTACCTATCAGTGACAATTGTAAGTTTTCCTATTTTTTCAGATCAGATGCTATCTGCTGCTTAAGTTTAATATAGTTATTCTCTTTCAGTGTAGTACATCTTGATGTCAAATATATCCCCAAATATTTAACTTTATTCGTAACTTGAATTTTCAATAGGTCTGTCAGCTCTTCTCTTTGTCTTAATAACATGTTCTTTGTCAAAATCTTTGTTTTGTCTTTATTTATTTTCAAGCCAGCCATCTCACCATACATCTCTATCTTTTCGAATAGTTTTAAAGCTGTCTAAAGAGGATCTTCCAAAATAAAGACCAAGTCGTCTGCAAAGGCTTGCAATTTAAATTCCTCCTTTTTAACTTTCATTCCTTTTATATTTGTATCCTCTCTAATATTTCTATTTAACACTTCCAAAATCAATACAAATAACAAAGGAGATAATGGACATCCTTGTCTTGTACCTTTTTTAATATTAATAGAGTCTGTAAGTTCTCCATCTATCATTACTTTTGCCGTTTGCTTATAATATATGGCTTCTATTGCTTGAATAAATTTTCTAGCAAAGCCCATCTGTTCCAATAATAATAGCATAAATCTCCAATTCACGTTATCAAATGCCTTTTGGGCATCTAAGAATATCAAAGCCATTTGTTTTTCAGGATGCGCCTCGTAATATTCCAATGTATCCAGGATTATCCTCATATAGTCTTTAATTTGTCTCTTTGGTAAAAATCCATTCTGATCAGGGTGAATAAAATTATTTAAATATTTTTTAAGCCTCTCTGCCAAGATTGAAGCAAAGATTTTGTAGTCTGCATTCAATAAGGAAATAGGTCTATAGTTCTTAATTTGTAATGGGTCGACCCCTTCTTTTGGGATAAGTGTAATATAAGCTTCTGACCATGTTTTAGGTATTTTCTTATTTACCATAACTTCATTCATGACTTCTAATAGTGGAATGCTCAACGATTCTTGTAGTGTTCTATAAAATTCTGCCGGGAGACCATCTGGTCCTGGTGCTTTTCCATTGTTCTGTCTGTTGAGTGCTTCAGTTAATTCCATCATTGTTATAGCACTTTCTAACATTTCCCCAGTTTCATCAGGTATCTTAGGTAGGTTAGCATTTTGTAAATACTGTTTGATTTTTTCCTCATCAAGACCCTCCTGTTTATATAATTGTCCATAAAAATCTCGAATGATTGCTTTTTTCTCTTTATTACCATAGCATACTTGGCCTTGATTGTCTATTAACTGTAATATTTTCCTTGATTCTTTCTCTTTTCTCAATTTATATGCTAACCATCTACCTGGCCTATTTGCATCTTCAAAATAATTCTGTTTAGCACTTCTAATTTTTTGTGCCAGTTCTTCTTTCTCTGCTTGATCCATTTTATGTTTAATTATGTCCATTTTAAGTCTAATATCTTTTTTTTGTGGCGCTTTTTGTAATTCTTTTTCCAATTTTTTATGGTCATCTTCTAGAGCTTTAATCATTTGCCTCTTCCTAATGTTCTTTTTCTTTGAATAGTCTATTATTAATCCTCTTGCATATGCCTTCATTGTATCCCAAACATTCTGTATTGAAGTGTCCTCTTTTTTGTTTACATTGAAGAAGAAGGCCAATTCTTTTTCCATCCATTGTGTAAAGTTTTTTTCCTTTAAAATAGTATTATTTAATGTCCATCTAGATCTTCTTTTTTGTCCTTTCCATTTAATTGTCATTGGATTATGGTCTGCCCATGTACTTGTTTCAATATTTATTTCTTGAATATTGGATAATAATTCTGTTGATGTCCAAATCATATCTATTCTGGACCATGATAAATGTCTATTGTAATAAAAAGTGTATTGTTGAGTTTTACCATTTCTTTCTCTCCATATGTCTTTAAGATTTAATTCATCTGTCATTTTAAAAAAAGATTTAGGGAGAGTCGTCCTATTTTGTGGTGTTGCTTTTGCTGTATAATCCAATTTATTGTCTACAATTCCATTGAAATCTCCCATCATAAGTATATTAGCGTAGTCCAGTTCAATTATTTTCATGTGTAATTTTTTATAAAATTCTTCTTGTTTATCATTCGGGGCATAAATTGCAACCAAAAGTGTTTTTGTATTATTGTCCACTATTTCAACCATTAATACTCTTCCATCTTCATCAGTAAAAGTCAGTTTTGCTGGAATAGTTTCCTTAATATACAAAACCACTCCTCTTTTCTTACAGTAAGTCAGAGAAGTAAATATTTTCCCTAATTTTGATCATGCCAGTAGTTGTTCGTGTTTTTTTTTAATGTGTACTTCTTGTAGGCAAATTATATCAAATTTTAGCTTCTCTAATTTGTGAAAGGTTTTTCTTCTTTTAGTAGCTGAATTCAGTCCATTTATATTGATAGAAATCAATTTTTTTTTCCTCCATGGTTATGCTTTATGTTTAGGTTTAACAGCTCTCGTGGATCTTACTTCACGTTGTTCTTTGGTCTCCACTTGTCCACCTATTGCCCCTTCCTCTTTTCTCATTTCCATTTGATCCTCTTCAGATTCAGTTGAAATGTTCTCTTTTTCTATCTCCATTTCTCTTCTTTCAAAGAGTTCCTTGTAGAATGTTTCTGCTTTCTCAATTGAATCAATTCTGTATCTCTGTTCTTGCCACGTAAACATTAATCCTTCTGGAATCAGCCATCTATAGTTCACCTCTTTTTCCAATAGCCTTTTAGTCAAAAATCGATATTCTCTTCTAATCTCTCTCACTTTTCTAGGTACTTGTTTTAAGACCACAATCTCTTTGTCTTTATACTTCAACACCCTCTCTCTTGCCACTTGTAATATTTGGGTTTTAATAGTTTTTTTTGGTGAATCTAACATGAACCTCTCTTGGTAATTGGTTCCTCGTCGCATATCTTGTGAAGACTCAATATATCTCATCTACTCCATCCATCATCTTTTCTTCTGTTATTTCCAAGGCTCCAGCCAAGATTTCAATTATTACTGCAGCCAAATTTTGTCCTTTTTCCTCCTCAATATTTTAAAATCTAAGATAAAATTCTGACCTGTCCATCTCCCACTTCAACATCCCACTTTTTTCTTGTTCAACCGTTGTTAATCTGCTATCGATATTTCCAATTATGTCATCTCTTTGTTTGTCTTTCTCTTCTATTTTTTGGATTCTCTCATCATGATTCACCATCATTTGTTGAAAATTTTCAAATTTTTCATCAATCTTCCCAATTCTTTTATCAATACTCTCCATTTTTTGTTCCATGCTCATTTTAAGATCTTGTATTCCTTGCATAACCGTCGTTAAATCCATTTGTGTTTTA